AGTGACTTTGCGCAAATGACTCTCAGTGTCTCTGTTCACTCATCTATGCAATGGAGATGGTAATAGTATCTACCTCATGGGGTTGTTGTGGGGACTGAAGGAGCTAATATGTGTAAAACTCTTAGACTTAGCGCTTGCACATGGTAAGGGTTAAATAAATGTTAGCGATTCATGTTATTACCCTCAGTTATGTGCCAGGCTTGTAGTATATAAACAGTAATAAGACATAGTTCCAGTTCTAGAAAATTTATGATGTAGCAGAGAGGATGAACAATAAACACGTAAATGAATATGCTTGATACGATCACAGAATTTGAAAAATGCTTTAAGTACATAAATGACTGACTGTCTTGGAATGGAAAATACATTCAAAATGAAAATAATCAGCCACCTAATCAAATCAAGTTCAGATAGTCATTTATTGTTTTTCAGTATTATTATTGTAATGATGCCTCCTATTCTTGGCATCTGAAATTTGGAGCTCCCAGGGCTCAGGCCTGTGACCTTTATTCTTCTGTGTCCGGGCTCATTCCTAGGTGACCTCACCCTTTCATGAACTATAATGCTGAGTTCATGCCTCTGAGCCTAGCATCATGCCTGAACTCCCATACATGAGTACATCTAAATTCAAATTCTCCATTCTCAGCCACCCCAAACTGCTTTTCCCACAGTGCTCCCCAAGGCAAATCCCAAAACCAGTCATCCCTAAGAGCACAATGACGTCCTTCTACCTAGACTACTACAAGAGCTTCCTAAGGGATCACAGAGTTTCCACTCTTGCTCCCCGAGAACTGTTCTCAGCACAGCTGCCAGGCGACCTTTCCAAAACATTAACGATCCATAGCCTTCCTCTGCTTTAAACACTCCAGGGGGTTTCCTTCACCCTGTCCTTTTCATGGCCTATGAGGCCTGAGACGATCTGGCCCTGGACTGCCTCTCTGCCCTCCTCCCCTACCCTGCCCCCCTACTCTCTCTCTTGCTCCCTTCTTCAGCCACACCAACCTCCTTGCTGTCTCTTCAATAGACTAGTCAAGCTCTTACCTCATGGCCTTTGTACATGCTGTTCCCTCTGCCTGGACTATTCTTCCTCCAGATAGCCTCTTGGGTCTTTCTCTGACTTTATTCAAATGTCTGCTCAAATGCGAGCCTCCTAACTAAAACAGTACATACACTCCCACTCCAGTCTCTAACTGCTTTGCTCTGCTTTTTTTCCTAGTGCCTGACATTCTATTTTAGTGGTTTGTTGCCCTAGCTTGAATATAAGCCTTATGGGGCAGAGTCCTTGCCTCTTTTGGTCACAACCCCAGGGCCTAGAATGGTGTCTGACACACAGTAGATGCTCAATTGATATTTGATGGATGAATGAATAACTATTACCTTAATTTACGCAGAGTTTCACAGTTTACAAAGTAGTCACGTATACAGTATCTTAATGAGCTTTCTAAGAATTTGTGGGATAGGCTCTGTTATATCCATTTTATAGGTAAGTTCTAAGTCTGCTTACTATTTTTGAAGTTCCTTGTTCAAGGTCATGCAGCTCTTGTTCACATAGGTCAAACCCTGGTCTTTTGCCTTCAAACCCAGATAATCATAAAATATTATTAACAATAGTTAACAGTCTGTTAGTACTCCTTTTGACACTTGTAGTATCTCATTTAACAATGCTTTGAGGTAGGTACTCTTATGATTGCCATTTTACAGAGGAAGAAACTAAGTAACTTACCCAAGGTCACAGAGCTGCTAAGTGGTGCAGGCAGAATCTGGGTCCTGGCTACTTGACTCCAAGGACTTGTTCTCCAACCAACTAGCCCACTAGGTACAGCCTATGACGTGAAAAGAACTAAGTAAACTGTGGAACACAAATGCACAAATATCAAATTTGTTCTAGGACTTTCTGCCATTCTTTTTTGCTTTTGTTGCATTTAGCAGAGATTTTCCCTTTCTTTAAAATATAAAGTGGAGAGTTGTATCTCAGATGCACTTTACATTATGTTGTTTTCTGCTTTTCATCCATCTTTGAAATGTTTGAAACACTTGTTTCTGAATTGAGAGGTCACTTAGGATTCACAGGCAGGGCTCAGGGGTTTCCAGTATTTTGTCCTTCTGCCTCCTCCGGTAGCTTCGCGGTGCCTTCATGGCCAAGTGCACAGGCTGCTCTTCCCTCTGAGCTTCAGATTCCGCCTCCTCCTCCTCGCCCCATGACATGCCTTGTTTCATAAATTCTCGCCTTCAGTATATTACATAACCTACATTGTGGAACACTCAATTTCTACTCCTTTCCTTTCCTTTCTTTTTTTCAAAAGTAGGAATCTATTTGATTGGATGTGATGGCACCCGAGGCAGAAATGTGGCAAAATTTTAAGTGGTGAGAAATCTAACTCAGCTACCTGGATTTTGAGAAGCAAATTGTGATTCCGCGAATCACTTTGTATTGAACTGGACAAGTTAGATGAAATAAAATAGCTTTACTGGCTTGCTTCTTGTCTCCAGGTCAAGCAAGTATCTGCAAGGGCTGCCTATTTTCTTCTCTTTCTGGATATTCAAATTATTAACTTAAAAGCATGCATGAAGTTACACATACACAGGTGGGTACCTTTAAAATATCAAACCCCTTAGATCTTAAATAAGCAAGCACTCATGTTGAAAAGCGAATCAAGTATTTTAATTGTTTCCTAGTTAGTTCTTTATAACATGAAGGTTCATAGCGTTTATCTGGGAATAGACTGAGTTCCTTCAGGGCAGCACATAATCTAGTTATCCAGGTATCCCCAACATCTGGCACATAGTAGGTGCTCACCAGAGTAGGTGCTTAACATGGTAGGCACCTGATAAATATATGTTGAAGCTCTAGTACTGTCTCTTATTGCCTACTTGCAGACTTGCCTCACACACTTTCCATGCGCAGGCATGTGCGTGCACACACACACACACACACAAGATTGTGAGCTCCTAGAGGAGAGGATCTGTGTCTTATTCATCTCTGCATTCTCTAATATAGGGCCACCAGATAGCAGGTGATAATTAAATGATCACTGAATTGAACAGCACAAGGATTTTAACTTGGGTTATTCGGTTCATCTGCCCTTCCCCCACCCCACCCTGTCCATTTGGCTCTCAGGCCAGACTGCCTAAAATCATCATATCAATCTAATCAAGTATTTGAAAGCCAGAGACCTTGAAATTATTTAAATCAAGTTTAGAATTACATTTTTAAATTTACTCCAGCCATCTCATAAGTAGATTTAGGAACTAGCTAACTGCCATCCCAGGAGGAAAAAAAAAAAGGCATAAGCCTAATGAATGTGGTCAGATATACCGTGTAACAGATGTCCAACGTGCTGCCATGAGCTTAAATCATAAATATGATGGCTCTGTTTGGCATAGCAAAATATATTAGAAGTGTTTTATCATAAGGTCACTGGGCAACTTGCTCGATGGGAGGGGAATGATCCTGAAAAATGCAGGAGCTCTGACTAGTAGCATCTCAGAAGGAGCCCTGGAGAAACACAGATAATCTGTTTGCAATGATTCATCAAGTTGGTCCTTTGTTTCCCTAATTTGAGTGTCAAGTGCAACCATACAATAAAGAATTGCCAAGACCCGATAAGATTCTCTTCTGGCTGCTGCTTTTCCTGCCCTAACAACTGGTACTATTCATGCCTGGAGCACAAATTGAATAAATAGCTTCAAGGCTGGCAATGTTGGACCGTGTTTTGAATTTTTTGTTTTTCTTTAAAAGGCTAAATCCTATGTGTGTCTTGCCTTCCCACAAACACATTGCATGGATAGTCACTGTGGTACCAATAATTTTAACTTTCTTAATACTAAGTATGGGGGGATGCCTCATAAGTTAAAAATAGTTCCTGTTGTATCATCAGTGGAGCAATGGATTACTGAAGATTAAAAAATAATTGTAATGCCTTTTTTGGCCTTGAGAAAGCTCTTATTGTGCCTATGGTTCAGTTAGCCTGCTGATCATTTCCATCTTAATGTAATCTTTAACATTATGCTGCTACAGGTGAGGTGTTAATACATTAACACAACTACTCTCGCTGAGCAATTTCACAAGAAATATGTCTTTAACTAAATTAGACATTTAACAAATGCCATTTGTAATTCAGCGCAGGGAGGAGAATGTCCTTAAAACAAGCTATTGATGTGAACTCCCCAACATAAGACAATAATTTTTTTAAAATTTTAATCGACATTCTAATGTGAAATTATGTACTGTCAGTGCAGTAGACCAATATAAGGAGAACCCCAAAGTCCTTAGGAATCTTAAAAAAAATAAGCAGTAAGCAGTTTTATCTCTAGCAGCCAGAAATCTTTCCTCACAATTAGGAAGAATCTACAGGTCCAGTTAATCATGTGGCAATGATGTGCGGAATGTATCTAACACTTTAAAATCATTTAGATGAATGCTAGAAACCTCAAAGTTCTGTGAGAAATATAAATTGTAATATTTAAAACAAGTAAATGAATTAAATAATTTAGATGAAGATTTAGATATAAAGGTTGCATGAGAGTAACTGGATTTAAAAAGTAAAATAAAGGGGAATATCAGAAAGCCTACAATCGGACAACTGAAATAATTTTTTGGAAAAATTATTTCCTGACAGATTTCCCCATGCTATGAACATAAATGCAAAAACTATAAATAGGGCCACTGACATTTGGGCAGTTGACTTGTTTTTATCAAAATTACAAAACAGAATTTAGTTTGCAGATTTTCAAATGGCTATGATGTTCAGAATCCGATTGGGTTCTCCTTCCTTTTTACTTGATGACTTCATAAAAGATAAATAAGCCCTCGGACGAATAGGTGGGTACCACTAGCACGGTTAACTCTCTCGCCCCAGAAATTCCACTAGGCTGAAAAGATTATTATTTGGGGGCGGGAAGGGGGGGGATGCAGAGGTCTTTAGGACCCAGCAGGCGGCGGCAGGCGGCAGTTGTGTAGATCACTGAGAGACTACGAGGGTCCGGTTCAGTTTTAATTCTGTCTCTAATCTCTGCAACAGCCGCGCTTCCTGGGTCCCGCGGCTCTCCTACCCACTCAGCCGCCGCCAGGGGCCGGGCGAAAATCAGAGCCGCCTGCCCCGCATCACCCACCATGGAAACCTTCCAAGAAAAAGTGGCTCCGGACGCGTGTGCCTGAGGATTCCTCACAAAAGAGGTGCCCAAAATGAAGACCCTGATGGTGAGTCATTTGTGGCAACTCCTCTGGGCAGAGGCGGAGACCCCCAGACGCAGCGTCCCCGGGGCGCACCGGAGAGCTCCAGAGGCGCCGAACCCTGCGCCGCGAGGTCGCCTGTTACAAAGGGACAACTTTCCACCTGCTCCGTGTCCCCTTCCGGTTCTCTGGTTCTGCCTGGCTGGGAATCCCAGAGCCGGGCTGGGAACTCGGGTTGCCTCGGCTTCTGGATCTCAGGCGAGAGGTCTGGGGACCCACGGAGAGCTGGAGAAGCGGTGGAGGGGTGGGCGCGTGGCTCGGGGGATGGGGGGTGCCCCAAAGCAACAGCCTGGCAAAAAACTAAGAGGGGCGGGGAAGGGGGGATCTTTGCAGACTTTCTTGGTTTTCTTGCCGGATTTCAAACTTGCAAGAATCGCCGAGGTAGAGCCCCGCGGGCCCAGGAAGGGCCGGGTGCAAGGGCTAGAGGTTCCAGCAGCCGAGCTGGGGGAGGGAGGCCTCTCCTCAAAGTACGAGCCCACCTCTGCCCTCGCCGCCGGCGCGCTTTCCCTCGCGTAGCCGGGCGCCGCGCACCACCTGCCCTCTACCGAGAGATCTGGGAGGTGGCGTGGGCCGAGAGCAGCTACGCTCCGGGGCATCGCCTGCCGTACGCGCGGGGACGGTGCCTCCCCTGCCCCGGCTGCGCGCGGGGGACTAGGACGCGGGCCACCTCCCTCCAGCCCCGGACCTCCCCCGCGCGTCTCACCGTCTCGCGCGTGTCCCCGCCGGCGCGCTCCTCCGGGGTTGGCTCTCAGCGGCTCTCCTCTGCTCTCTCCCGCCCGCCCGCAGCGCCATGGTCTGGCTGTGTGTTTAGCGCTCACCACCATGTGCACCAGCTTGTTGCTCGTGTACAGCAGCCTCGGCGGCCAGAAGGAGCGGCCCCCGCAGCAGCAGCAGGCAGCGGCGACCGGCAGCGCGCAGCCGTCGGCGGAGAGCAGCCCCCCCTCGAGGTCCCGGGCCCCCGCGGGACCGCAGCCGCTGGACGGATACCTCGGCGTGAGGGACCACAAGGTGACAGCTCGCTTGCCAGCGCGCACGCCACCCAGCCTGGGGATCCCGCACACCTGAGCCTGCCCCTTTCCCGGGGCTGGGAGGCGCCGTGAGTAGGTGCCATTCGGAGGCTGGAAGGGGGAGCGGACCCACTGGGGTGGGGTGGGGTGGGATAGTTCCTTCTTGCTATGAATTCCCGTTTGGAGTCGGAGGTAAAGTTTTTCGGGGACTAGGGGTGAGACGAGTGGACCCAAAGCCCCATTTCCTAACAGGAACCGACCCTGGAAGTAGAACCTTCTGGTCCCCAGAATTGCAGCCGCGGGTGGGTGCTGGGTGCCTGAAGCGTCTGGTTTGGCCGCCCAGTCGCGCCCTGGTGGGAGGAGAGCCGGGGTGGCGCGAGTAACGGCCGGAGCATTGCCCCGCCGGGAACCGGAGGGTGAGTAGCAGCCAGTCCGCGGCCGCTGCTCGAAGATTCCCCTCTGATCTCGGCGCTTCGGATTGCTCTGGGCAGAATTACCACAGCCTTGGGGAGCGGTCCCAGACAGGCGCGGAAGGCTGGAGGCACAAACTCAGCTTTCACTGGCTTGTAACTCATCGTTGAGGGCCTGTTTTCCTCTGCCTTCCGGGAAGCCGTTGCATGGCTTGTCTAATAATTAGTAAGATGATCTTTTTTTTAATCGAGCCTCCTTTCCCCCAAATACTAAATCTCCGGTTTCAGTGTGCGAAGCCTCTGGGAGAATTCTAATCAAGTTTCCTGATTCTGAAAAGATCTTTTAATACAGTTTGAATATATTCCCCATTATGTGAAGCTGCTAATATGTTTTTATTAAAACACAGTTCCACTCTGTATCTGCTCTATAAAGGTTAGAGGATTTCTAGAAACCACCCAGCTCTTCCGCATTTACATTACTAGATTTTATGCTTGTGAACCAAAGTATTATTTAGCTGGTGGTCCTTTTGCTGAAAAGATGGGTCTTACCGTTCAGGAAAAAGTCAAACTTTTTTTTAAGTGGCAATCAAAATATTTCCACTCATTTGTGCAATGCATATTGCAGAAAGGATTTTGGAGGGTAAAAATTTAAGGCAAGACCCAGCTGCTAGGGATCCTTGAATGCTTGTGGAAAAAAAAAACAACATACCATGAATTGTGGATGGATGGATAGATAGGCCAATAGGTACAATGTATAAGAAATGCTAGGTATAAAACAGTACTGTTAGGGTACAGAAATGAGAAACATCACTGCCCTGGAAGGTTTAAGGAAATTCTCTCTGAAAAGGTAGACTTTGCACTGGGGAAAATTTGGGGAAGCAGAAAAAAGGAAGGGATTTCTTCAGGAAGTGATTTGGGGAGTGCAGAGGGGGCTCCTGGTAGAATCTTGAAATCAAAAGTAGAGAGGGTCATCAGTTTTTCAATAACAGCTTCACTTTCTTCTTTAAGATGTTGATCGATTACACTCTTTGTGCAAGCAACCTATAAGGGCTGGAGTTCTAGAAAAGTTTAGACATCGGCTTCTGAGTGGATGGATGTGGTGTTTATGTGTAACTGGTATAGGATGAATATATTGAACTTGGTGGATTTTCATGGTGGTGTTTAGTGGAAATGGCTGTATAGCACTTGTGAAGCTTTGATTAATGGGGTGTCAAAAGGTAAATTTGCTGAAAGCTTTGATCTGCCTTTGGAATGGTATTCCCAATACTTTCCTTCCGTGTTCTGCTGGATGGACCACAGCTGAGAATATTGATAGCATAAGACAAAATATGATGCCCTCGTGTTTGTTTTCAAAAATAGTGTTTATTCACACAAATATGTTGGATTCCATTTTCAGTGTATCAGAGTACTATTCATTAAAATGAAAAACAGCCCCTTTTTGAAAGGAATGTTGAAACTCAATATGAGAAATCACGATAATCTATAGTAAAGGGTTTTATAAACTGTGAAGTGTTATATGGATGATAAACGTGTGAAAGCCCTTGGAATTCTTAGAGAATTATAAATGTGACCAGGAAGGTCTTTGCATCTAACGAATACCAGTGGAATTTTTTCAAAGAAAACCAACGTGTCATCAAATTCCATACTCCAAGGATTCAACAGAGTTTACCCCACCCCAAGCAAAAGAACAAATGCAAATCTTAAAATCTATGTCTCTTCTGTAGGCATTATCCCAATTGTCCCACTGAACCACATGTAAACTTCTACTCAAAGTGTCATCGTTTTACTGCTATTATTTACCTGGCTAGAAATTGGGTGAAGTTTCATTTCTGATGGCTATAGGGAGGTACATGTAGTGTTCATGTCCTCTCCAAAAGTTGCTATTTACTTAGGTTTACTTAAGATCTTCCTATAGTCTTGCTTAGGCAGAGGTGGAAATTTGTTAGAATATTGCTAGGATTTTTTTTTTCCAGATTAACCCAGGGGAGGGTAAGAAATCAGGATTTTCTACACTTACTATGTTGTTAGATGATACCCTGATTGCTTTTTTTTTTTTTTTCACTCTCATATCAGGCCTTAGAAAAATTATAGGATGTGCTGGATGTGATGACCACCAAGCCGTATGCTACTGCATACTGAATCAGAATTCCAAGAGACTTTTTATTTGCCATTGATTTACAGAATCTGGAGAGAGTTATAGATACTATATAGGAAAATGTTCACATCTCCATTGCTGGAGGTCCCAAAGTCTGATAAATATGTAGTGTTTATGTTCAGTTACATGATGGTATTAACATTATAACTCTAAGATTAAATTCAACAGGTGGTGCTAATCCCCAGCACCTGAATTTCTCAAATTACAGCCTGTCTGCAATGATTGTCTTGTCTCATACGGCTGCAGACTAAATTACTGTTGAGATTAAATCACTATGTGCTTTTGTTGAAAGACATGCTGCAAGTCAAGCCGGTGATGAGTAATGTGTGTTGAAGCTTAAAATATCACATTCCATGGTCATATTCTCTACTTCCTTGTTCACAAACGATGTGAGCTGAAATTGTAATTCCAGTGTGACTGAGTGAAGGCTACTTGGAGTTTCTTGTGATAATGAAGACATTTCATTTTCTGTTAGAAAGATTCTTTCTCTTCATTTCCAACCCTTTTCCCCAGACCTTTTCCCACAAACGTTTCACCAACTCATTTCAATCTTGCTCATGTCTGTCACTGCAGGTACTGTATCTCTATCCTGCCATTACTGTTCTGGTCCCCAGTTTTGGAGCTACTGATTTCTAACCAGATCAGCCAGACAACAAGAAAAGAAGTCAATTTTCATGGCTTTGGAAACCTTCTGTATTTAGAACTACAGCATAATGTATAACCAAACTAAAGCACGTGGGTGCACGTGCATGCACGCGCGCATACACACACACACACACACCCACTCACACACACAGGCACAAACACTGAATCAAGCAACCTTCGGAGAAAAGCTCCATTTCTCCCAGCGGAGTGGAAGGCGGCATGGAGTGTATTCTGTTTCCAGCCTGGATCTGGTCTGGGCAGATAAAGTAATTTGCCATCTGGTGGACCCTGTGAAATGAAACTATGAGCCGATTCCCATTTCCAGTGGACAGGAGCCCTTATCACAGGAGGCCCACTTGTCACCTGGGCTGCCCTTTTCTGAGATGGCTTATGAAAGAGCAGTGATCAATGGGGTCTGAAGCTGAGCTGCTATCTCCTTGCTTCAGTAGTAGCTCCCAGGAGTGGATTTTACACATACTAATAACATGCTTGTCCTTGGTTCTTTCCTTCCTTAAGCACTCAGTTATTCAGACAAAACAGAACTGCTTGGAGGTAACAGTATGTTTGCTATTAATTCACAGATGTCCAGTTGAAGTGATAGGACAAGTCAATGCGAGAGTTGAAAAATAATTCAAAACCAGAAAAAAAGGTGCATGCCATATAACTTACTTTGGAATTATGGCATAAGTATTCTTCCTTTTAAAAAGTATATAAACTCTCAAATATAAGTTTGCACAATTTATTAGACCCCATTTTATAATATTTGAGGCAGCCAATAGACAATAGATAACTCGGATCTCAAAATCAAAGTGAGCTAATTTTCAGTGCTCGGGTACTAACAAAATGTAATCTGCCAATAGTGATAAGACCCTGTTATCACAAATCGTCAACCAAAAGGAATTATAAAATGAACTGTTTTTCATGGGTGAGGAGTTGCAATAATGTGGTTGCTTTTAACAGGAGAAATGTTCATATAATATTTGTTATAATACATAACCTTAATTCTGAGAGCCAGGAGTGTTTCTCCAACTTTCCAAGGAGTAATGCCAAGATACCCCCATGCCAAAGTCCAGACCACACCTGGTAAATGAGTCTGAGCTGGCTCCCTCTCCATTTCTGGGCATTCTGTCCTCTTTGCTCATCCTTGAAAACTCATTGTGCCTCAGGACCTTTGCACTTGCTGTCCCCTCTCCCTGGAAAACTCTTGCCCAAGATTTTGTATATGGTTAGCTCCTTCTGGTCATTCAGTCCTCAGATCACATGTCATCTTTTTCTGGACCACACTCTTTGTTAAATAGCTCTCTCCTTAACAGTCATGCTCTATCATATTAGCCTGTTTTATTTTCCTTGTACTAGTTAACAATATCTGAATGAATCTTAAAGGTGTCTTTTCTATTGTTTGTCTTCCCCCGCAAGTAGAATCTAAGTGCTGTGATAGCAAAGTATTTGTACATCTTGTTGACCAGTTTAACTCCAGGCCCTAGAATAATACTTGACACTTAATGAGCACACAGCAAGTATTTATTGAAGGAAAGAAGAAAGGAGAGGAGATTGTGGAGAGGGACAAAGCTACCTCACCTTATGCAAAGTCCTTTCTCTATAAGAAACCACAATGCAGGGGCGCCTGGGTGGCTCAGTTGGTTAAGCGACTGCTTTCAGCTCAGGTCATGATCCTGGAGTCCCTGGATCGAGTCCCTGGATCGAGTCCCGCATCGGGCTCCCTGCTCGGCGGGGAGCCTGCTTCTCCCTCTGACCCTTCCCCCTCTCATGTGCTCTCTCTCTCATTCTCTC